CTGGAAGAGAAGCAAGTGCTCTTAGAGCCACTGAACCATGTCTCCAGTCCCTTAAAAATCATCTAAACATCATTTCAGTTGGACTGCCTTGAGTCTCCAAATCAAAAACTGAGGCTACAGTATAGGGCAGTTCAAATAACAGCATTTTTTTTCTCCCAAGATGTAGGATCCGAAGCCCTTGCAAGCTTTCCTTTACCTGTGATCATCTACGATCCTGGTTCCGAGCTGACAGACATGAGATGTCCTGCATTAGACACAGAGCTAACTCATTACAGAACCACATTTCAGGCCACTCTGGAAGTCTGAAGAGGGTGGGTGAGACGAGAATAGGGGACGTCTTATTTGCAAGGTAACCTCAGTTTTGCCAGTTATTCCAGAGGCCAGTTCACTGAACTCCGAAGCAAGGCTCAGCTTCTTATTTTTCAAACCCCAGTGACCAAGCCAGACCCCGTGAGACACCTAAGTATCTCAAAGGCTGTCCTCACCAGTGTTTCCAGTGGGGAAGCTTTGAGACTTTATCGCTTCTCCTGGAAAAGAAATACATTTCCCCAAAGAGAAAGATTAACAGAAGAAAAGATTACGTGCTCTGGCTTGGAGTGGAAACATCCCTCCAGGTACGTCTGTTCAGGATAGCTCCGCCCTCAGCTCTGGAAACCCTCAGGGCTGATACAGTCTTGAGCAGAGAAGCCAAAAGGCACGCTCAGCCCACAGAGGAGTGCCCTGTGCCAGAGTGGTCCTCCTTAGTACCAGTGTACTGAATATAGCCCTTCTAATCAAACTTTCACCGTGAGTCTAGCCTCTGGAACCTTCCTCCTGTGGGAATTCCAGCCCAACCACCATCCATCTGGCTGGTGTAATCTTGAACAAACATCGGCATTTGTAGGGGTTTTCTAATATGCTTTACTCATGTTGCAAGAAGGGAATGCCTAACTCAGCATGATGTTCAAGAAACAAAATTTTATCTGATATTACATCTCTCCTTTGGCTTTTTAATTCTGTATTTCATCATAAACAGGAAGCTTTCGAGTCTTATATATAGAACCGTTAATATTTTTCTTTAAAATTTTATTTATTGGGCTGGAGAGATGGCTCAGTGGTTAAGAGCATTGCCTGCTCTTCCAAAGGTCCTGAGTTCAATTCCCAGCAACCACATGGTGGCTCACAACCATCTGTAATGAGGTCTGGTGCCCTCTTCTGGCCTTCAGGCATACACGCAGAAAGGATATTGTATACTAAATAAATAAATATTAAAAAAAATAAAATTTTATTTATGTTTATATAAGCTTTCTAACTTTAACTTTGAAATGTCAGTAAGCATTCAGACACACACACACACACACACACACAGACACACACACACACACACCATGGAAAAGTAGCCAGTGCTCTTTAATGCTGAGCCATCTCTCCAGCCTCAGCGTTCACTAATGATTTATTCTATTTATCTCAGGGTCTTCGTTTATGTTTGGAAGCACCCTGTCCATACCAGTGATCCCCTGGGGCCGCTTGTTAGCTCTGTTGTATTTCCCCCTATCTTCAGAGTATGAATCAAGTGAATTATATGGGAGCCCCAGAAATCAGATGCTCAAGACCCTCCCCAGGTGACTGCTGAAGGAGAGAACACAAGCCACTTTAGGGAAGCATTTGGACGACAATCTTCTCTGTCTCTCACTTTCCTTCCCTCTCTCCTCTCCACAATTATTTGTTCTAACTCCAGAGAAGTAAACCGTGCTTGCTCTAAAGACTGAGCGCCATCTCAAACTGCGCATGGCAGGAGAAACTGACCCCTTCGAGTTGTCTTCTGACCTTCGCACACTCGCACACTAATAAAGAAGTGTAATTTAAAAATTTAAAGGAAAAATGAGCTGACATTGGACGTAGGCCAAAGAGGGCTCTTAAGGAAAATAGTAGATTCAGGCACTGGGTAAGTGTACGGTTTTGTTTTATTTTTTTAAAAAAAATAATTTATTTTATATACATTAGTATTTTACCTACATGTGTCTGTGTGAGGATACTGGGTGTCCTAGAACTGAAGTAACAGACAGTTGTAAGCTACCCTGTGAGTGCTGGGAGTTGAACCCAGGTCCTCTGGAAGAACAGCCAAAGCGATCTCTCCAGCTCCATGAAGAATTTTTTAATGTCATCCACTTATAATTCCTGATAGAGGCTAAATAAAGGGGACAGATCATTCTAATCTTTTCTCTATCTTCACCTTTCTATGCTTATCTAGATTTTCTATTTTTTATTTTAAAATGGAATTGACTCATTTTATATTAAAAACAAAGGTATTCGTTAATAGTTAAACTTTGTTAAAACACCATTAAAGCATGATGTATCAGACAAACTCCCATCAGTATATGGAGATATCAGGATCTATATCCTGTAGAATCAGATACCCTTTATTCTACAGGAGCAATGCAATACCTATCATTTATCCAACAGCCATTCAACTGCAAGTACATTCATCATGTCCATAGTACCTTTGAAAGTTTATGAATCTTTCCTTATGTCAGCATGGGATAGGTAGATGGGGGTGGTTATGATTCTTCGCTACACCTGCATACACACACATCTTTGCTTTATCAACCTTTTTTTTTTCTTGCAAGAAATGAGATGGAAAACAAAACAACTTCGTACAATTTACACATGTTCCCTGAGGGTCTCCTGAACCAATGGGGCCTGCCTGTAGCCATCAGATAGATTTTTCTTAGACGGCAAGGACACAATCTTGTTTTGTGTTGGCAGAGTGCTTTTCTACTATGTAGAAATCATTGAATTTGATCCCCAGCATCACATACACTGAAAGCGGTGGTACTCACCTGCAGTCCTTACACTTGGCAAGTGGAGACCAGAGGATCAGAAGCTTAAGGTCATATTAAGCTACAAAGCAAGCCAGTGGCAACGGGGATAAGATGTCTCAAAAAACAAAAGCAAAAACACCAAAACGCCCAGCAATTCATATATATATATATATATATATATATATATATATATATATATATTTTTTTTTTTTTCATTTAAACCGGTACTTTGGTCTACTCTCACATAAGGTCATTCTAACAGGATGGAACTCATACAAAGGAAAATGAACCACATTTAAAAACAAAAGGGATTGCTTTTGCTAAAGACTCTCTAAGTCACCCTCATAAATGCAGACGTTTTTAAAATTTCTGTGTACGTATGACCCTGCATGAACACATGTGCACCACGTCTGTGTGAAGACCAGAAAAAGGGTTTCAGGTCTCCTGCAACTAGAGCTACAGGCAGTTATGAGCCACCCTGCGGGTGTTAGAAATTGAATCCTCCGCTAGAGCAGCTAAGCATGAAGCACAGCTCACTACCTACTGCGCTGGGCTGCTACTGAAGGGAGACTTGAAGTCGGGAAGAGTGCTGTGGCTCCAACTTGACAGTCTCAGCACTTGAGAAGCTGAGGAAGGACTACCATGAATTCCAGGCTAGCCTGGGCTACAGAATAACCCAAACAAAAAGAGCCAATTACAGTGGCACTGCCTGTATTTGAACATTGGGGGTGGGGATGGGAGCTCAACTGGGGAATTTCCAGGAAACCCAGTGGGATCTTGATACTCTCAGTACCCCCAGTGGCGGGGCCAGCAGAGAGCAAAGGATCTAGCCTAAGTGGCCCTAGTTGGCAGGGTGACAGGTCCTAGGAAAGGGCTGGGGAACTCAACAACAGATTGGCATGGAAGCCCCCATCACTGCCTACCAGCCTTACATCTAAGCACAGGTGAGCGAGGCCATATTCTCCCTCAGATGATGGCCCACTAATGTTCCACACAGATCCTAACGGGGCAAGGATTTTCCCCATGAAAAGACCAAGTCTTAAGCAAGTGTATCTATAATGATTGCCAGTTTTATTCCTCTGGCTAAGAAATCCAGAGGTAATTCCAGGTTTACATTTCTTTTTAATAGTTCTTCATCAAGAGTTTAGTGCCTTTATTGCCTCTACAAGCTGGTTACAAATTAATTTTAATTAACTCCCACTTATTAAAAAGTTCTTTGTGAGACATATTCATTAAAAAATACAAGCAAAAGGCAAAATTAAAACACACCACACTGAAAGACCCCCACTCACTAAGCAGCAGTAACGCCATTTTGCAAGGCTTAAACTTTGGAGCAACATAAGTAAAATTAGAGCAGGGAAGTTCGACTTGAGAACAAGGGCGGAGAGGCCAGGCAGTCAGCCATCTGGCCCCAAGCGATAAGGAGCCAACTAGAAACAGGGAAAGTAGAAGGCCCTCTGGACACCCCCTCCCAGAACCCAAAGCTGGCCTGCTCTCATAAGAACATCCCGTTTGCTTAGGGAAACAGGATGCCTATAGTCAGTGAAAGACCCCCACCTAGCAGCATTAAGTTAGCAGCAGCCATAACAAGGTTTGAATTCTTTTAGCAATATAACTAAAAGCTAGGATATGGGAATTCAATTTAGAGATAAGGGCGTTGGCCAACTTAGGGGCAGGGGCGTTGAGCCAGGCAAGATATCTATGGTCAACCATCTGGACTGCCAGCAGGGGACTTGGGGTCCAGAGGAAGAGTTTGAGCCTTAGATGGGCCAAGTCAGCATGCATGTCTGATTTCTTGGAAACCATAGAACTGCACCCGAGCCTTATTTGAATTGCCCAATCAGAACCCTGTAACTATGCGTCTCGCTTCTGTACCCGCGCTTCTGCCTCCCCACCTTATAAAAATTCACTGCCCCAACCTGAGGGCGCGCTTGTCTCCCGAGAGACTAAGTCGCCCCAGGTACCTGTGTACTGAATAAAGCCTCTTGCTATTTGCATCCGAAGAGTGGTCTCGCTGTTCCTTGGGAGGGTCTCCTCAGCCTGAAAGACTGCCCACCACTGGGGTCTTTCAACACAAAAAAGCACTGTTAAGTTTTTTGATACATGTACACATGTATACAAATTTTCCTATATATGCGAGTTGATACTAAATATGCTGCTTTTAAATTGTATAATATGGAATGAACACATTTCCATGCATACGGGTGAAACTTTCCAACTTTTTATTGAAAAATAAACGTGGAAAATGGGTCAAAATCCAAAATCCAATGAGATGCTGGTAACACCGAAACTATCTAAAATACCTCCAGGTAATTAAAAGTAAAATGAAGTTCAAAGATACATCAGAAAATGCTAAGAGAAAGAAAGCAGCAGCCAGATTTCAACATCAGAGAAAAAAAAGATTTCAAGGCCTGAAGCACACAGGATATGGACGGCTTCGGGAATGTCTTTGTTTCCAATGCATCATCACAAACTTGTTTCTTACTCTTCTTATCTCTTCCCTAAGCCTTTCCAACTCATCCACTCCTCTTAACACTTCGTCAGGGTTCAGATGCCTTGTGGGAGTGTCCTCTAAAGGTTCAGGGCCGGGTTGAGCAGGCTCTGCATCCTCCCCCACACTTTCTCCAGAAGCCTGAAGATTTCCTCCTGCCTGCTGAGGTGAGTCTTCTGAAGGATGGCCTTCATCTGCCTTTGGTGTATTCTGGGGTGTTCCTTCATTCTCATCACAAGACTTTTGCATGTTGAGTATTTCTTTTTTTTTGAATAAATTAACCCTAGGGGGAAAAAACAAGGAAGCAAAACAGATTAGGTGCTAGGGAAATGAACAAGCTCACGTGTTCCCATAGCGACTGACTTTTCTGATTCAGGTCTCCAATTGCCAAAAAGTTTTCAAACTAGACAAGTCAGGCTCTGAGCTCCTGACTCCACCCCTTCCCTCCCCCTTCTCCTTGCTTTCTAACTCCATCTTCTCCTGTCCCGGCTCCAGCCCACCATTTTCCCAGCAGGCCCTGCAACAAACCTCTCCAAGCACCGAAATGGGAGCAGCGTGGAAGCAATTAACCCTTCCCACACCACATGGCTCTAACACTCCCGCCCTTTAGGGCTTTCCCAAGTCATCCCGTCCTCAGCCTCTCCCGGGCGAAGGTCTGGTTAGCAGCCTCCTCTCTCTCTCTTTTAAATGTCTTTAGCCTCTCCCCTTTATTCTTTCACCCCTTTTCCGCTGCAGGATCTGAACGGGCTTTCTGTGCTTAATCCGGATGGAAAGTCGCTGAGGCGCCCCTGGGATGTGCTTTGGTGTCTTCCACACTTCTACCCCCACCCAGAGGGACCTAAAGCAATCGCACCCTTGCACTGACCTGTAGGTATCTGAAGATTTGCCTCTCTTCTTGCACCTCGATTTATGTCGCGCCCCAAAGACAAGAGTCCTGAAGAAAGACAGGAGTGCTTGGTGAGCATGCCAGTGCGTGGATCAAAAGGTCTCTTTTACGAATATAAGCGTTGATAGCACAAAGTTCTTCCAGGTCCCCCTCTTCTCCCTCCTTTTGTGGCAACCCCGCCTTCATCTGTACCCTCGGTTTCCCAGTAAGAGAGAAAAGAACCAGACAAGTTTTTCTCACATTGTTACTGTTCCTTCTCTCCGTCTCTCTCGTATTTTGCCTTTGCCCCTCTCTTTTCTTTCTCTCTGTGGGACTCATTAACTACCTCCCTCACAGTCTGCCCCATCCCTCACTAAGCAGTCTTAAACCTCTCACACAAAATAGTTTAGCAGAATCCTAAGAAAGAGAAATAGTGCAGGATGAGTGTGCTTTCTGAGCTCTGCTCCCCCCACCCTACGGTCTCTGAGCCAGCGCCCACTAGTAAAGTACCTGGAAAGCGCTGGGTTACTCTTCTCTTGCAGGACTGAGCTGCTACTGAGGAACTGGGCCTGGACTATAAGGACTTCTGCACACGTCGACTGCTGGTCACGTGAGGGTCGCGTCATCAATGAGCTCCAGCCCTGGCTTATCCCTGCCATTAACATAACAGCCCGCCCCCTACATTCCCTTCACTTGATACTGTCAATCTTTTTTCTTATTTGCCAATCGGAGACAATAAAACTGGTATCGTCACCAAGTAGTATCTATTCTACCTTACTCATGTTACATAGGAAAGAACAGTCTTTTAGGGTACGTCGACCAATTCTCCTAAATTGGGAAGTCATCTCTTTCTCTCCCTCGCACCTTCCCCTCCCCCAAAATCCTACAATCCACCATTTCCCCGGGAATCTTATCCGTCTTTAAAATGGGGGAAGGTTGTAGAAGCACGCTCGTGGGGCTAGGGGAAGGCTGGATGGGGTAGGAATGTTTAGCTTCTAAGGGCAGGACTCTAGCTTCACTAGCCCCCTTGAGTAGTTTTCTGCTGTGTTCCGTTTTAGATAATAGTATGAATTAAAATAATACTTAAAAAGGGATAGCTCCTAAGTATTATTTTACATTGGATGAGAAGAAAGTAACTTGATGAAATCAACTTTAAGATTTCGGAGAGTATTCTAATGGCTACAAGTGAAATGACAGTATTGACAATATACTGATGTGTTGGGATTTTTTTTAAAAAAAATCTTTCAAAAATGGCAGCGTTTGCAAACTGACTTTAAACCAGAGCCAGTTTTGTCTCCTTAGTTTTGCGTCCACAATCCACTACTCTTTCTGGCTGAGCTTACGCTGTTACTAGCTGTCAGAACTTTTAATTGATGACTGCTGGTAGCTTCCACTTGCAAATAAAGGCTCCAGACAAATAAAGGCTCGTTTCCTTGTCCTTTTGTGAGAGCCAGTGTCTTTGTTAAACAGAAAAGCCTGCTTTTCATTCAGTGAACTTTGGTGCAACTCAAAGAAATATGTTTGTTGGTAAACTTTTGTTATTAAGAGAAGGATGTTTGTAGGGAAATAGTGCTCATAATGAAGCCCAGAGAAGAGAGCTCTTTGTCACCATTGATGGCTGGGCCGATTAAGCATGTGGGATTTTTCATTCATTCGTGGCACTCTTGACACTCTGATAGTATTCAGTGTGCTCCATTGAAACAAGAGCTGTCTCAGAGTACTCCATACCCTGCTGAAGAGTTATTCACACTCCATGTTTATTGCTGCTTTATTCACCATAACAAGGGATACTGTTCAGCTTAAAAAAAGAACGTAGTCATAAAATTTCCAGGAAAATGAATGGACTTAGAATGTATAATATTAACTAAAATTACACATTATCAAAGAAAAAAAATCACATAGTCTCTCTCATATGCAAAACCTAGCCAATAATATATATGTATATATAGGAACAAATGTACATGTGGGGACAGAATAACATGCAAAAAGGAAAACAAGAAAAGTCAGGAGGCCAGAAAGGACTGAATGCAGAGAATAGCCAGGCTATACAGAAGAGGACGTAAACCTACTTATTTTCTTCTTTTTTATTATTATTTAATTGAAAATTTACATACCAATCCCAATTCCCACTCCCTCCCATCTTCTGTTTACTCCGTCTTTCTCCCACCCCACCCCCCATACACTCCTGTGAGAGGGTAAGGCTTCCCATGGAGAGTTAACAAAGCCCAGAAGGACCAACACCCTCCCCAGGATGTCTAGGCTGAGAAAGGTATCCTGCCAAACACAAAGGACTCCCAGAAGCCAGTTCAAGTATTAGGGATAAATCCTGGCCCCACTGCCAGCGGCTCCAAAGACTGCTACAGCTGTACAACTGTTGAAAGACCCCTAGTGCGGGGAGACTCTCAAGTCTCGGGATAACACGACCCCCCCCCCCCCCCCCCCGTAACTCACGAGAGACCTTCCTTGCTGCAATCACATGAGGCTTTAATTGATGAGATGAGATGGGAACCAGTGCACTGGGGCCTAGACTCATAACCCACGCAGAGGAAGAGTTCGACCCCGAGTGACCTGGAAAAGGGGTTTTTATAGAAAGAAACCACAGCCCAATAATCCGAAAGGGGCAGGGAGGGTGTCACAGAAAGTCACCAGGGGACAATGCCCTGCCTCTCAAGATCACTCAAGGTCATAATCAGCTAGTTCCTAAAATCACAAGGGGGAAACTCCCTGTTTCTTAAGATTACAATCTAACTTTATCTTCAGCTAGTGCCTGAAACAGTCACTGAACTGGCTAATCCTAGATTTTTGATTCTTCTTTTCCTGCTTGGATTTTTGGCTATTTTCTTCCTGCTGGGGAGGTCTGGATTTACCCAGGTCTTTCATCTGCTGGATGATAAAAGACCCTAAGTACCAGTTGTACAAGCACACAGTAATCTTTGGTGTCATTAAAAACCTTTGTCTACACGCAAGGTGTCAGGCCTGTGTTACAGGCCCACCATTTAGCTAAACCGGGAACGGAGTACCTGGTGTCAGGAGTCTTAGGGCTATCTTGCATATCATCATAGAACCTTCATCTGGTGATGGATGGAGATAGAGACAGAGACCCACACAGGAGCACTGGACTGAGCTCCCAAGGTCCCAAGGAGGAGCAGAAAGAGGGAGAACATGAGCAAAGAATTCGGGACCACGAGGCGTGCATCCACCCACTGAGACAGTGGAGCTGATCTACGGGGAGCTCACCAAGGCCAGCTGGACTGTGACCGAAAAAGCATGGGATAAAACCGGACTCTCTGAACATGGCGAACAATGAGGGCTGATGAGACACCAAGGACAATGGCAGGGGGTTTTGATCCTACTTAATGTGCTGGCTTTGTGGAAGCCTAGCCAGTTTGGATGTTCACCTTCCTAGATATGGACGGAGGGGGGAGGACCTAGGACTTAACACAGGGCAGGGAACCCGGACTGCTCTGTGGACTGGAGAGGGAGGGGGAGAGGAGTGGGGGGAGGGGGAGAAGGGTGGGAGGAGGGGGAGAAGGGTGGGAGGAGGGGGAGAAGGATGGGAGGAGGGGAAGGGAAATGGGAGGCTGGGAGGAGGTGGAAACTTGTTTTTTTGTTTATGTTTTTTTTTCTTCTTTTCGCAATAAAAAAAAAAGAGTCTCATTACATAACCCCAGTAAGAGTCAGCCTATGATTAGTCCCCCAAACATAAGCCTCTTGACTGGTAGTGTTGTCAAAGTCCCAGATACTGCAATTTGGGTAGTTCAGGAGCTCGCTTCACGTGGGAGGCGTGGATCCAGGCAGAGATGCATACTTCATTCAGTTGTTCCCAGATCTGGCGTCTCACCATTTCAAGGGCCTTTAGGTGGGAAAATAAAGGTCTAGAAAGAATAGCATCAGGATTATACATTCCACCCGACTCGGTGAGCAGTGGCTGTTCTCCACATAGAATCTCATAAGGGGTGAGTTTAAATCGCCCTGGGGTGTTCCTAACCTGGAAGAGGGCAAAGGGAAGGAGGGCTGTCCAGTCATTCCCACAGGTCTCTTTTTAGAATTTATATTCATCCTTTCTACCTGATCTGACTCTGTGGTCGGTAGCACAATGTAATTTTTAATTGATCCCCAATTGGGTGGCCAGTCCCTGACTTACCTGGGCAACAAAGGCAGGCCCATTATCAGACCCGATTACCTTGGGTATCCCAAACCTTGGGAAGATTTCTTCTATGATCTTCTTAGCCACCAAATTGGCCGTCTCAGTCTTGGTAGGAAAAGCTTCTACCCAGCCTGAAAAGGTATCTATAAAAACTAATAACTACTTGTTACCATACCTGGCTGGCTTAATTTCTGTAAAATCTACTTCCCAGTAGGCCCCAGGCTGGTGGCCCCTGAGCCTCTTCCCAGGAGTGTCCTGCATTAGTCATAGCACAGGCCTTGCAGCTTTTGACGACTTCTGCCAAGTCAGAGAGTCCCATAACATAGTAGTCGGAGGATATAACCACATCTTTTAGTTTCTTGGCCCCCAGGTGGGTTGGGTAATGTAAGTTGGTAACATACTTGTGCCCTTCTTTTTGTGGGAAGACTAGTTTTCCTCCTTCTGTCTCTACTACCCCGTATGGGGTTTTCTTTAGCAGTCCTAATTTGCCCATAACTTGATAGTCCTCGGGGGTGTATTTAAAGTTGCTTTCAATGATATCATGATAATCTTTAGGCTCTTTGACTGCCAGGATCTTTGCTCCCTGGGCCGCCTGTTTAGCAGTTAGGTCTGCCATCTGATTTCCTTTAGCCGCAGAATCTCGAGCTTTTTGGTGTCCTGGACAATGTATGATGGCTACCTTCTTTGGCAAATGTATGGCCTCGAGGAGGCTCAAAATTTCTTCTTTATTTTTTCCTGCAGATGTTAACAGTCCTCTTTGTATATTGCTCTGTGTATATGGGCAGTGGCAAAAGCATACCTGCTGTCAGTTGAGACTTTTCCCTCTGCCATTCATAGAGCTGGTATCAAAGCCACAAGTTCAGCTTTCTGCGCCGACTACCTTCAGGGAGGCTATGCCCAGACTACTTGCTTCCCATCTGCCACTGCTGCCCCCGCCTTCTGCTTACCTTCAACCGTGAAACAGCTGCCGTCCGTATACAAGCTCGGACTTCCAGGCCAAGGCTGATCCTTCAGATCATTTCAGGTACCAGCTTCTTCTGCCAAAATGTCAGTGCAGTGATGGGTAGATGAGGTGTCATCAGTCTCAGGCAGTAGGGTAGCCGGATTGAGGACAGCAGGGGGAGCGAAGGTCACTGGTTCAGTCAACAAAAGGCTTTAATCACCTCAGGCTGGTTTGAGTCTCTTTCTAATAAAGGTGTGGGACACTCAAGGAAAACCAGGAAGGAATGAGTCACTTGTCCTTCCCCCAAATCTACAGTTCATAAGGTGGTCCACAGATATTTTTTCTGTCCAGTTGCTCCAATTACTTAGTCTTTTTTATTCTTTAACTTTCCCAAAGGTTATTTCAGCACAGAGTGCTCAGCCCCTTTGTCCACTAGAAAGTCCATAGGGGTCCTCTCCACAGTCAGGGTTACCCTAGGTGCCGGGGAGGGGGTCTGAGCCCCGTCCCCT